CCATAAGGCAAAGGAAGCTGCATCCATCGTTGGTCATCCCAAACGGCTGATAGTCAAGATGGCCTGTCCCCAGCTGAACTTCTCTCAGTATGGACAGGAGAATGGGGTCTGGTAGAGTAGATGGAAATTCCTGCACAGAAACGTGCACGTCAGATGAATCATCAACATGTTCCAGAGGACAATAGGTATTTCACTGTAAATGGATGATGTCGGTGACGTAGGCCTTGATGAGAAGCACTGAGTCAGTGACCCAGACAATCTCAGAGCAGAAAATTGGATATTACCAGAAAATAGGGATTTCAGTTCATTCAAAACAAGATATCATCTTGGGTACTTAAATTCCCAGGTTACCGATGATATGCAAACAGAAGTTGGATGGAATTCTGTAAAAACTGTCGTTGGTACCAAGGCAGAAGAAAATTGACATCCAGTCTCAGACTGTACCAGCAAAGTAATCTGCAGAACCAGCACTAAAGGTACAGGAGAGACTTTCAGAGTAGATTTCTTAGAAGCAGAATGTTTGCTGGAGTAGACAAAGTAAGTGGAGAAGCAAGCACAGTCACTGATGTCACAGGGGACTTCGGTATCAAATCTGGAGTAGCGAGCTGAATCTTAAATGAAGCCTAAGATGATCTTGCAGTACTGGAGCTACTTGGAGCCTCAATGAAACTCTCTTTGAGATCTAAGGTCTCCAGAAGCTTAAATTGATAAACAGAGATTTTTTTTTTTGTAGGAGACTTAACTCTCCTGCCCCTTTTAATGGCATTCCCAGTCTTGCTACATGAAGCTCTTGATACCAGGGACGTAGAGGAAGCTCATATAACCCTCAAAGCTCTTGGTGACCAAGACTTAGAGGTAGGTGGGACCACAGCTATGTACCTCAAGGCCCTCAGTGACCAGGATCCTGAGGTAGACATGGAACTAATTGTGCTTGGAAGCCAGTGTATGGGGAGATTCTCCAAACCCATGTCAGAAGCTTGTCTTAAGGCTTGCTCCATCATCAGTAATTTGAATTTGATCTCCCTGTTTTTTTCCTGAGATCAGCTCCTCCTTCAAAAGCAGATCTTACACTTACTGGGGATATGGGTGTCTCCCAATTGGTGAAGGCCCCCATGAATACTCATCACTGACCAGAACAGATTCCCAACTGGAAAGACACCACTTAAAGCCTACGGATCCTGGCATGCTCTAGAACAGCCTCTAGGCTGGGAAAAGCTAAGAGAAAAGGGGACCCCCAAAACAAATTAAGCTAACTATACTAGAACTAAATCTAAGGAGGTGTAACCTCAATGCTCCATCTCAGGCTCAACAGCAGTTGAGAAGGAACTCAGGGTGGTTCACCTGTGCAACCCTATATGTCCTCACTACGGGACACAAGGATGAATAGGCTCATGCATGGGCTGAACAGGCACTGCTAAAAAAAAAAAAAAAATCTCTGATCAAAGGCTCAGGGACACATGCACACCTAAAGTGGAGTACCCATAGAAATCTACTCAAAAAAGAAAACTGTTTTGCCAAGCTAGTGTCCTTTTGATCATTAGGATCCCAAACAGTAACAGCTGAAAAGTTGGGTCTTCCCCAGATCTAGGGAATGGAAAGCCTTGGGGTGAAGCAAGCACAGTCACTGTATTAACCATTAGTTACTATCCCACTCTCACCACCAAATATGTCAGAGCTACAAGACTAACTGCACCTCTGACCCCTCTCCCACTCATCTTTTAGAGTGTTCCCTCCTCAGGTCTCAGGCCTCAAGCTATCAGCCCTCTCTCAGGGTAGAATCACATAATTCTCCCACTCTCAGAATAGGGTACTGCAGCTGAAGGCCTGGTATCAACTGTTATCTCAGGTATGACTTAAGTTCAGACCCAGCAGTTGTGTTCCGTCTGTAGTGTTGATCTCCATGCTCCCAATCTGGCAAAAAAGCTGTATCACTTCAGAATGTAACCTGGAAGTATGCTACCGCTCTATAATTGCCTCCAAGTATGTGTTGGGAGGTTGATCTACAACTATTGTGCTTCTTTCTTGCTTGTTTTTCCCCCACAGTCCCCTGTTAAGCTAGATCAATACATTCACAGAGGAAAGTTTTATAATCCAATATACAATAACTTCATCTCACTGGACCAGATGACATGGAGCTGCTGTGTGATACATTTTACAAACAACACAGTACACCACCACCACCACATCTGAATGTTTTCTACACTAACTAGAAAAAAACTGTAGTATGTAATATTAGGTTGTGAATTTAAACACACAAAAGTTTGTTAACATTTTATTTCCTCTCTTATAGTATCATTAACTCTTCCACAAACTGCATATAGCAGTCGGTTAGACTGTTTAATGTAGACAATATGTAGTTTTATGTTGAAAACCTTGACTTTTTTCAATTTTTGGCTTTAATCTACAGAATTGTAATTTTTTTTAAATGGAAAATTATGAAAGTTTTAAAAAACACTAGTATTGTAACAGTTCCAATTGAGCTTTCAAATTCATACCGCACTGAGGTGAATAAGGTGAGGACAGGCAGATTCCCACCTTTGCTGCGACTGTTTGGAAGGAGACAAGTTTCCGTAAGATTTAGCTGGGAATTGGTCCTGCTTTGAGCAGGGGGTTGGACTAGATGACCTCTTGAGGTCCCTTCCAACTCTGATATTCTATGATTCTATGATTATATTAACAGAGCAACAGCATCTGCTCATGTTCTGGCATGAAATGAGAACTTTTAATGAAAATTCAGTATTTGCAAAAAATTTGCAATATGTTCACAACTACTGTATTTCACAACCCATCATTTTCTATTCCTCTCTAAAAATACTTCCATTAAATCTGAGTATTCTGTCTTCTCCATCCCCCATAGTTAGTTACCAATTGACCTATTTTCAGTTTAAATTCAATCTGACAAGGTCAATTTCAGAGAATGGAAAGCATGCGATGGATTTCACAAACCAGATTCTACACAAAAAGCCAACACTAGAACAGAGAAAACTGTAAAATCAAAATACCAGTAATTAAATGATATTTTACTACACAGTAAATACTCTTAAGAGTACACTCCTTTTTAGCACAGAAAAGTCTATTCCCTGCCATACAGATCACAGCAAAGTAACAAAATGAACAGACGGAAAGAGAGATGTCTGGGCAAATGTAGAACTTATTTAATTCATAGCAACTAAAACCAAGGGCAATTGCTAGCAAGTGCACCACCCCTAGCTATGTCACATGCTATGATATGTACCAGACAGTTTTCTTCAGACACACTGCAATCAATATGTCAGGAGAACTGACATCACAGTTGGGGGTACCCTGTTATTACAAGTAAGTTACAAGATCCTAGCATAAAGGCATCTATCCAAAGTGACAGATTAAAGATTTTATAAAAGAAATGGGATTTATCCACACCTGAAAGTGAACATTTTGAAAAGTAATTATACTGTTATAAATTTAACAAACAGAGTCCTCCTTCCCTCCTTAAATCTAAAATTGAGAGGGAAAAAAACTTTTAGTTTTGTCTATAAAAAAAACTACCACAAATGTTGTTTGTCAGTAGATTTAAATTTCCAGGCTTGCATTGTAATTTTTCATAGACACATGAAAACAAACCAGGGTACTTACTGCATGGAAGAGTGAATTAGTAAACTAGCCTTTCATTTGTATTAGTTACAGGTTTTGGGTATTATAGACTGCAATCACTCTAGATGACAGTTACCTGCCTTACAGAGTTCATAATATCTACTAAGATCTTTGTAGAGCTTCTAAACTCTATGCACCACATCATCAATTGGACTTATAAATTGAGATAAAACTCCATAAAACTAACCCAGAAGTTTATAAATTCTGAGAAAATTAGGAGTAGATGGAAGTCTCAGCAGCAACTCATGAAACAAGGGGCAGGAGAGAGAAAGTCAGAAACCTCCATCCCCTGAACCCCCATAGAGATTCTTAGTAGTCTTAGGGCATGTTTACACTACGAAATTAGGTCGATTTTATAGAAGTTGATCTTTAGCAACCGACTTTATACTAATCAACATTCACTTTTTAAGAAATACATACGTTTCTTTTAGAGTCCCCGTCTCTTTTAAAAACTTGTTATGAAATGAATACACACATATTTTGTGTCATCAGTTTGTGCGCAAGCCAGCAAAAGGAATAAAAGTCAAAGAGGGTCCTGTGGCACCCTCAAAGGTGCCACAGGACCCTCTGTTGCTTTTTACAGATTCAGACTAACACAGCTACCCCTCTGATAAAAGTCAAAGAGTTAGGCTGCAAATTTTATTCATATAGGTATACACACATGCGGCAATACACGCACCTCCCTACACAAAGACACGGTCTCTTACACACATGTGCATGCATAAACTTTCCTATACAGAGAGACTTTTTCCACACACTTTCCTAAATCACCCAGCTGGGAAGGGAGGAGGGTGGGCTGGAGGAGAAAAGATGTGGGGTGGTGAGGGGGGGGGAGGGAAAGAGGCCAAGGACAAGAGCAGGGTGGGGGTGAGAGGGGGCAGTGAAGGGGAGAGGAGAGGGTGTGGGGGGGGTATGTATAGGGACATAATGGGAGTGCAGCAATGTATGGAGGTGAGGAGGATGCTGGGATATGGGGGGTGAGGAACATGGGGGTGGCAGCTCTGGGAAACACTACATTAGTACTCCTAATGTTATCTGAATTCCCCAAAATAAGATCTGAAATATAAATCCTGCATTTTAGCATTTTCAAAATGGAATTTACATTAAAAACTATCTTATAGCTTGCCCCATATTCTCTGAAGTTTTCTTCTCTAAAAGCACATTTACCTAAGGGGGAAAAAAATCACTTTTGGTCTGTTAGAGTGAAATTTATACTATTGCAAGAGATTTCTGCAATACAAAGAATCTAACACCAGTTTTTTAGGGTTCATACGTCAGACCAGGCAGCTTACTTTCTTTATATTAACAAGTAAGCTTTGCCTTTCTCTTTTCCTTCCCAATAATAAAATAGAATAAAGAGACAAAATTACCTTCATGCACTGTTATTCCACAATTGTCACACTGGATTATTTCATCAGCATCTTCACTGTTATCCCCAAGACAAACACAGCAAATCAGAATATGGTCCATTTTCTGGGAGGTCCAGTTTTGAGACTTTTCAAGGATCAGAGAGTCCTAGCATTGAAAAATTAAGATGCAATGATTACACTGGGAATCACACTGGAATAGTTTATTATTTCTATTGAAAACAGGTATTTGCCCAGTGTAAATAAAAAAATTAAAAAGACAAGGATAAAATATATTGTTGCCCTGTAACATTTTTATATTTATAAATGTATACATAAAAACATTTTAAAGCATGTAAAAACCTTCAAGTGCTTAATTTTTCCATGTGCATAAAAAAAGTCTTCCTCTCCGCTAAAATTGTATGATGCTCAAGTGCAATTCTGCCATCCACCTTTTAGGGTCTTGATGACGCCCACTATAGAGAAGCCTTGCTTGGGTGGGCCTTATGAGATCTACTAGAGCAGGTCTCCCTTCCAGCAGACCTTATCCACCAACTTGATTTAAACTGTTGGTGTTCTTTAAAAGACGAATATAAGAAACATACAAAACTTCATTGCAAGAAGAATTAAGGTTGAAAGTATGTTTTGGGAGTCCAGCTACCTTCAGAAAATTATTACACTAACAAAGTCTATACCTTTCCAAAAGCCCACACAAGTGTTAAAAAAGTATACTGCTGATTTTACATATGATTCATTAAATGGGTAATAATTTCTCATCTTCTCACTACTAACATGAGTGAGGGTTTGCAGGATCACATATGTAGCTTATAAAGTACTTTAGATTTCCTCACAGTGAAAAACACTATATGAAGTGAAATATTACTAATTTATACCATTTTATATAATTCAATTAGCAATTCTCTCATGAAAACATGGAGCAGTTTATATGATTAAGATATAAAACAGTGATGGATAAGTTTGGGGTATTTTCAACCTTTCAAGGTATTTAAATGAATACTATTTAGAATGGATTTAAGGTTATCCTTAAATTGATTAATATGTTTCTGGACTGTAAAATTGTGTCTCTGTACTGTATTAGCACACTGCACCCCCGACTCCCACCTCCATTTTTATAAAAAAAAAGAGTAGAACATGGAACTTAGAGTGGCTTCACCAATAAAGTCTTAACGTATGGAGAGGTGAGGCATCGGACGCACTAGTAATAAAACCATCACTACTGATTAATTAAAGAAGCATTTGTAATAGTTTCAGAGCATAGGTTGGCAATCCAGGACTGACACGGAAAACTCCACAGATTACCTGTGGCTCATGGACAACAGTTTGAGAACCATTTCCTTAGAAAATAAATCTGATGCCCAAGTAGCTCTGAAGATACAAAAAGTATTTTGCCATACTTGCATCGTTCATTGATTGATCACTTTGCTCATAATTAAAAGCAATACAGTACTAGACAGAGAATATCATAAGTAGTAAACATTTCCCAGATGCAAAAGCAATTAGTTTCCAGATGATGTGGGTCTTGTGATATTTTCTCTTCCCAAATTTTCCTAAAAACAAAAACAAGTTTCTAGTTGCCATATTCAGGACTACAGGTAATAGTTACAATGCAGTGGTAACAGACTAATGACAGCCTGGGGGCAGGTGGGGGAGGCGGATTTATGATTCAGCATAAACTTTTGAGTGAGACGAATTAACATAACACAATAACTGTTCCAGTTAACTTTTCATTACAATATGCTAAATGCACATTAATAATCCTTGCTGCAAAAGATAATGCAAGCTGTATAATTAGTATAAAATTGTTTTAAAATGTCTAGTACTCAAACACTGAGAAAAGTGAGGCCAATACCAAACTGAGGATTTCAAAGTCTGAGTAATATATCTAGGTCCTCAACATTTTAAGGAATTTTCCAAAAGCTCAAGGAGATACATTTTCAATATGGTATGTAAAACCATCATTTCTACAGTAAGCAAAAGATGTACCTAGATTATATATAAAATCTAATATGGCGCACTAGAACTAGGAATAAAATGTAATTTACTATGGTGTGTTTGCCAACATCACATGAAGAAACTGTTGACTAGGTTGTTCTATTTTTCTGAAGTTTAAAGAAAATTAGAACAGTCTACATAATCTCAGGAGATCAATACAGAGCTCTTGTATGTATAGATCAATAACACAAAACTTGTCACTTCTTGGTTACCAGTCTGAATCCACCCCCAGTTGCTTTATGATGGTTGTTCAGTGGCCAACATAAAATATGTTTGTAGATCTCAATCTGCTTCCATTACACAGTACAACTGGCATCTTGATCTGACAGGCCAAGGAACAGGGCACAGAGAATAAGTGATCTTCCAACCCCAAAATTTGGGCACTGAAGTTCAGGAATGAGGCACATTGGTGGAGCACTGTGGGAAAGTTTGTACTGCTGCTACTACCTTTTCTCTTTACAGAAGATTCCTGGTTCCAGAGCTGTTAATCTGGCACAAGCTATATATTTACATCAAACATTTAAAAAAAAAATGTATAATTGCCTATAAACATGATTTAGGTAACTTTCCATTCACTGTACAAACACAAAAATGTGTTAGCAATACCTCCTAATTATGGCAGATTAACTATGCACCGGCACAGTTAGACTTGTAGCAGAGAGGTCCTTAAAGTTCTAAGGACTTTACAGAAAGCCAGAATTTTCAATCACCACCACATGCTCAGATTCTTTGCTTGGCTTCATTGAGGAAAGTCTAAAATTTTGGTCTGATTTCTAGTTCTATAAACACTGACATTTTTCTTGCTAAAAGCAAACTTATAAAACTTGTGACATTTTATCCAACTGAATAAAACTAAAACTGTACTGTGAAAACAACACTGATATAACATTTATATGAAGAAAATATGTATGAGAAACAGACAGAAGGTAGAGGGCTAAGCCAATGCTGCAAGGATATCAAATTCAGCATCAAGATTAGGTTTTGTGAGGGGACACTGAATCCGTGGTATGCTGCATGTAGTGGCCAGGAACCCTCATGTGGGGTCAAGAACTGTTGTTCCAGCTAAACCCTACACCTGCAAGGTAAAGGGGCGGATTTCATTCCCATCACCACTTAATTCCCCATACAAAGCCCACTATTAACAGCTTTTGTAGGAAGTATTAAGTTTCACAACCTATGCACATGTACCTCCTAATAACTTTAATGGGAATTGCAAAGGGCCTCACCGGGGAAGAAAAGAACTCCTTAAAGCAATAGCAATTATAAAATTGAAGAGCATCATTTATCTATTAATGATGCTTGACACAAGTTGCGACAAAGTAGGCTTGTCTGCCTACACTTAATACAGCGGAACACTATAAAGGTAATGCATTACAACACAGGTTCAAGTATAACATGGTCTGTCCTTGAATTCTATCTTTGCAAAATGAAAGGGTAAAAAAAATTAACAGCAAAAAGACTTGAAAGTGATAAGAACCAAAACCTTATTAAAGGCCTCAATATTAGTTGCCTACACAAAGTTAGTTGCTTAAATACTCTGTCCTTTCATACATCAAGCAAAGTAACAGCTGCATTACTAGGACTTCAGCTTCTGCATTGTAATGAGATTCTACTGGACTCTAAAAGGAACTATTTTTACTAAATGTGAAAAATTATTATACTGGCGCTGCCAGCAGCACTTTTGAAACCTTGTTGTTTCAAATCCCATAAAGTGAAATTGGACATGTATTCTGTTAACCTAGAAGTTAAAATTAGATTAAAAGTGAAAATTGGCTTAATGGACTTTAATTTTTTAAGAGATCCAATTACCTTACTCTGTATTGAAGGAAAACAAAATCTAAAAACAGCTTAATCAAAAAATTCAGATAGTTCTTAATGTGCATTGTTAGGATAATTTTTAATCAGTTGTGACAGTTCGTTTTGAAAGGTAGGAAAGATGGTCTTATTATTAATGCCCAAGATTTGAAGCTAGGAGATCTGAATTTTAAATTCTGACTCTGGCAAAGACTGTGGGAAAGTCACTTAAGAATCAATCTGGCAAGGTGCTAAACACCCTCAATTACCATTGATATCAGTGGGAGCTGAAGACACGTTAAGGAACAAGACCTTAATTTCTCGGTCCTTCAGTTTCCCCATCTGTAATATGGGATTATACTGTAACAACACTAACCTACCTCAGATGTTTTGTGAAGATTAGTCCATTAATATCTGTGAAGTGCTTTGAGAGCCTCAGCTAGAAGGCATGGATAAGTGTATAGTGGTAGTTTAAAATTATAAAATGATATAAAGGAAAAGGGACAGAGTGGGCTACTCTCCCCTTAAGAGATCCCTAAAGATCAGGTAAAATAGGCCTGCAGTATCACTGTCTGTATTGTACCTACTGTATTGTACCTACCTGGCAAGAGGGCAAACCTGGCATGAGGTTCAAAATGACACATTCATCTAAGAAGTACTTTAGACCCTAACCCTATCAAATCTAACCATTCCGTGTAGGGTCACAACAATAAGCGTATAATGCACACAGTGTCGCAAATTTCCAAATGTAAACAAGTGTACTGGTTTAATGTTAAAAACAGTACATGCATATTCTCAAGTTATCTTTTTAGTCACAACTACTAGCGTTAATAAGATGCACAAGTGATAACCAATGTTAGTGACTAAATCCATAAAGTATCTACAAGTAAGTCTCTCATGAAAGTACAACACAGAAAGACATTTGGTTCTTCAACATTCCAAAATACTAAACCTTGCTCAACCCAATTTGGAGTGTTAATAGTAAAATCATCACACATAACTCATCAGAAAAGACTCTTTAAATGAAAAAAACCTTCTAAGTAATCCTGTATGACTATAATTTATCCAGAAGTTAAACCCTATTGTATCAACAGTATAATTACCTGTAAAAAGTTAAAAACAATAGTCTTTACAGTGATTTTTTTAATTTTGCAACTATGATGTATTAAGTCAACAATCTTAACAACCCAATATAGCACTACCACCCTGTTTAAGGGGATAGGAATTGTGTGTGGTAAAAGACTGCAATATCAGAAACTTAATACATAACATTTGCATTCTGCAATCACAATGTATTCAATGCAATTAATTCTTACCCATGGTAGTGTTTGGTGTTTTAAAAAAATTAGAACATACACTAAAACTATAAACAGCTTGCTAGAGAAATATAACATTCATTCTAGCTAAGCCCACATCAGAGTACATGTTCCTCTATTAAGAATTCTTGAACAGTGAATGTAATTTTTGTTTTCTATGATGTTTGTTGCAATGAGGAACTGGATCAAGAATATTTGCTTTGGGGGGGGGGGCATTTGTTAGGACATGTCAAAGCTATTACACGACTTTAGCATTGGTTTCTGTTTAATAAGATACACGCTATAACAGAACTAAACTGTTCATTAGCAGAAGTTAGTTCGCATTATGGACCTACTTGCTATGAAGCTGATCCAAAGGCCATTGAAGCCGATGGAAAGACTCCCATTGATTTAAATGGGTGTTGATTGGCCTTTATGGCCCAAACAAATTTATTTCACCTGCCGTACCCATTTAGTTATGGAATTTTTTTAATTATTAAAAAAAACCACCTCACTGTAAATAGGATTCCAGTCAATCAGTTTAACTTCAATGAGTAATTTAAAAAGAATAGCACTGCAGACTACTTTCCATTTTTCAACAGACATATTATAGAAAGTTGGTTGCTCTACCTCATTACTCTTGCTTTGTGAAAGAGCCAGGCTATCATTTGTCAGCTCCTCATCATCAGCACTATTCCTGCTAAGAACTTTATTTTTCTTTTTCTTGGATCCACCATCACTAGCAGTGCTGCTGTTATCCTCATTGCCTTCCTCATCATTGTCATCCTCATCGCTACCACTTCCATCGTCTTCATCCTCCTCATTATCTCCATCACTTCCCTCTTTCCGCAATGCAGTTTTTCCCTTCTTCTTCCCAGCAGTAGGTCGCCAGTCGTTGTCATCCTCGCTGTCATAATCATCCATTTCATTTAGTTCTTCCATCGATACAAAATCCAGCAGAGGTCGGTTCCTACGCAAATTCCACTTTTTTGGTTCATTTGTTTGCTCATCAGCAGCAGCATCAGATTCAGTTGCTTTTTCTTTCTCCTTTTCTTTTTCTTTTTGGCTTCTCATCATCTTCCTCCTGTTCTTTTTTTTCAGTCTTAATCACCTCTTTCTCTGTTGTAAGCATCGTTTCTCCAGCAGAAGTTTTCGGTTGCTGTTCTTCCTCTACTTTCACTTCTGCCAATTCTTCCTCCAAGACATTTTCTTCTGATTCACTACAGGAACCTTCACCACTGTCCTTTGATGCATCTTCACTCCCACGACCACTTCCTTCAGAATCTGTTGAGCATATGAAAATTTAAAAAATGTGTTCCAACACAAATGTACCCAAAAAACCCAAAAGCTGTTGAAGTAACAAGTTGTTAAAATTACAGAATGATGCATGTTCCTCCCTTATTAGGCATCCAACCTACGTTGCAGTTGGTGTCCAAATATCGCTACTGCAAGTAGTACTACTCAGAATCTGTTGAATGAGTGCATTTTGAAATGGGGGGGAAAAAAAGTTAAGATATATTAAACAACACCTGTTAAATTCCCCTTTGAATCTCATCTCATATTACCAATAGGCAGCAGTATGGGATAGATATAGTCGCCATTTGATATTATAAAGCATGAATAATTGCACTTGTTTTAAAATCTTAGTAGTTATTTCCTAAACCTTGAAAATGAAAGCTCAAAATAAAATAGATACTCAATACCAATCATGCCATTTAAAGATTATTAAGGTTACAAAATTAAGCATTCAAAAGTCAAGAAGTGCCAAAGTTGAGTTTGCTCATACAAACTTAACTCTGCCACCTGGTATATATGCATAGTAAGAATTTTTAATTTCACCATCACTTACTATCTTTACCCTACAAGACCTATGCCTCATTCACTCCATAGTTTGGACAATGGGCAAGTCTGAACTGGGTGTCACCCCATTATCATTCTTCAGTTACTAATCCCTTGTCTCATTTACTACACTAGTCCAATTTGCACAATGGATAAGGCAGAGGTTCTCTATTCAGTATGCAAATAAGTGAGGTTGGAGTTCTGTTGGGAAAAAAGGAGAGCATGTAAAAATGTAATTAAAGATTATTATGATGCATTTGCACAAAAAGGTTGAAAGATGCATGGACACTTCCTGACTTGAGTGTTTCTCTTAGTAACCAACATTCTTTTACTAGTTTTCATTTTAAATATTTATTTTAAGTTAAGAGAAATGAAGAATAAATTATCTTATTTGGAGCAATTTACTAGAAAACAGTAGAAAGTTCTGTTCTGCATGATACATGCCCTCAACGAGGCAAAGGCTTCAATGAAGTAAGGATTGAGATTTTCCAAATCTACCACCAAATTGTACCGGTCACCTCCAACAAGTGCCAATAAATAAAATAAATAACCTCATCATGTATCTTTTGAGCCACACATTGTAGAGAACTGCTTTACTGGCACCTAAAAAAAAAATATTAAAAAATGCCTCTGCCCTTAATCATCTTACTTACCAGTAATAGCAACTAATGAATTTTATTAGTTACCAAAGAGCAATCCCTGCACACACCTTCATAGCCATATACAGCCCAATAGACAGTGGAACTAGCATGGTTCTGTATGGTGAAGACAGGATGCAGAGAGCCCCATACACACACCATGTAGCTAAGCCCTAAAGAGTGACACCAGGTGCTAAATTTCGTATAGGACCCATTTCTTACAATAAATGTTAATTAATTTAGAAGTTAACACATTTTACTTTTAAGAGTAAAAGACTTATGGTAAGCCAGCAAAGTAGGCTCACGATAACAGGAGAAGAGTGCCTGGCACCATTTTGGAGAGTTCCTTTAATTGATCTTTCCTCGCTCTTGATCCTGCCAAGACTTATTCACATGCTTAAATTAAGCTCAAAGAAAAGTCTTTCCAGAATCCAAATTTGAGCATGCAGAGTACGCAGCAAGTGTCCTGAATTGAACATGTGGTAGGGCCATGACCACCATGTACAACTTCAGATATCCTGAGTCCTTCCCTTAAGGAGACAACAGCCTCCATGACTAGGGGAAAACAAAAGAAACTATCTACTAATACAGTATCACAAAGCCCCAGTGTCACAAAAGCAATTTTTTAAAGTTAAGTATGCTTAAGCTGGTCAAGTCCCAGGGCCAAGGCTGTACTAAACTGTGCCTGCATTTGATTATGAAAATCACTTTATCAACATTATTGCAAGAAAGTCACAGTCAAAATGTTAATCTTAGATAAATGTAGATATAACTGCACTAGGAAGTAGAGTCTTGTCCTTTTATAGTTTTTTTTTTAATTCTAAATATGCTATGATTAAAGCTTTTTCTAAAAATTAAACTTGTAATACAACTGCTTAAAATAATTGCTCCACGACTAATTTTGACCTTTAAGAAGTAAAGGCTCATAGTTGAACAGCAAACCATCTGACTGCCCAAAAAAAATACACACAAGTAATGGGATACATTTTTTAAACTCTTTTCTCTGTACAATTTGTCAAATATTATTTAAATTTGCAAAAAATACATTATTTATACAGCAATGGTCAACATAGCACTATCAGAAAAAAAAGGGTTTTTTGTCTGAAAGCCTAATGGAGCTTTTCTAGCTCTTTCCAACCCTTCATTCTTGCAACCTGTCCCTGTTTCCATGTTCCCTGTCAGCTAACCACCTCTACTCAGTCTCAAGTCCAGTCACAAAAACTGGAAAAAGTAGTATGTAAACCAAATATCTCGGAGAAACTATAGTATACCGTAGGCCATTTCAATCATTTCACCTAATTACAAAAAGGTACATTTCTTTTTTTAAAAGGACAGTTTTAAAATATCTTAAAGAATAATCATTACAAAACATGCCATTTTGCTGGTTTCACATAGGATAAGACAATTCTTCTCCAGTTTCAATGTATGAAAAAGAAGGAACTTTAAAATCCTTATAACTTATGTTCTATTAGCAGATTATCTGATAGCCAGAAAATAAACAGGAAAGCTACACACCATAATTGTGCATATTGAATATAATAGTGGCTAAATCAATCTTAAATACCAAAAAAGAACAGAATTGGCATCGTGTGTAATGTTCCAAACATTTGATTTTAGACTGAATCTAATGTCAATTTAACTTGCAGCCATAATTTTATGCACTTATTTGCCTTGTAAGAAGGTTTGACTAAGCATTTTAAAATATTAAGGATCTGAGCCATACACTTCAATTAAAACACTGCTGATACCAGAAGAGAGAGAGTAATGTATACAAAGACAAAGATCACCAGACAAAAGAGTTTAAGATATGATTGTACTGATCAGAGGCAGTACTTTGTCTTCCAATGCCTGTGAGTGAAGCATTTAAGCAACTTTATCAAATGCAGGTGTGGATTTGAGAAGGCTACAAAAAAAGGAGTTGTGAATGATTGGCCTGCAGACACACAACTGGAGATTGTAAGTCTGTCAGATGCTGTAAACTGAAGTGTGTCATGTCTAGTCAGCAAAAGGATGAAAAGCATCTAAGGACAACCCAGTTACTAATGATGTAGTAAGTGGGCATTCTTACCTCTGAGCCAGCACTCAATAAGTGACCCAGCATCCAGCACAGTGGCTTTCTCTTTATTCATGTCTGTTCAGAGCCCAGCAGAATAAGGTACCAATTTTGATTGGGATCTTTGGGTGATAGCATAATGTCAGGTGTTTATTAATAAATAATAAAGGCAAGAAAAGCATCATGCAGCTTGTGGCATAAAAGGAAATTAAAAAAAAAAGTTAAAGAGTAAAAAGGTCTGAGCACTTTAACCCTGCTGTCATATATTTCAAAATCCATCTTGCCTACTTAAAAATTCACTTTAATGTTTTCCGTTGAAACTATAATGTTCTTCACCCCACTTATTATGCAGCAATGCTGATGCAAATGGATGCAGAGTCCATCCCTCAAAAGTGACTACATATCCACATGGGCTGTAAAGTGCTTTGAGAGCTCTAGGCTAAAAAGATGCTATATACACAAGTTATACAGGGAACAAATAGATACTCTAGTCCAGGCATCAAGAATCCTTAGGATGCATCTATTTAAAGTTAAAGAGAAGAGTATACTATAGCTGCTTTTCAAAGCAAACTCTCAAAGCACTGATCTTTATTGTGCACTGTTGGATTGCAAAACTTCAGTTGAAGACATGAAACTTTGCATCACGGGGTACACGCAAGCATCCCAAATCAAACTTGAATGTTCTTTGTCTCTTGTAAACTTAAAAAAAAAAAAAAAAAAAAAGACACCAAACCAATTATTTTTTAAAAGTTATTCCAAAACAGACCATGTAATGCCAATCTTCAGCCAGGAATAAGTCTTTAAATTATTTGTAATAAATGAGTAATAAATACAACTTTAACTATAATGATAGTAAGGGCTGGTCTACACTGGAGGGGGTGGGGGGGGAAAAAAAGAGGGAAATCGATCCAATCGATCGAATAGCGTAGCTGAAGTCGAAGTATCTTGGATCGAATTACCTGGGGTCCACACGGCGCCGGATCGATGGCTGTGGCTCCCCCGTCGACTGCGCTACTGCCGCTCGCTCTGGTGGAGTTCCAGAGTTGACAATGAGCGCGTTCGGGGATCGATATATCGCGTCTTAACGAGACGCGATATATCGATCCCGGATAAATCGATTGCTACCTGCCATAGTGAAGGCGGGTAGTGAAGACATACTATTTCTAAGTAGTGCTCCTTAGTGTATCTGCGAAGGTGTAAGAAAGTTACTTTTTTCATTGAAAATAACCATGCAAATGCAACACTAAGGTTGAGAACTAGTGTCATGTCTAGACTGGGGAAGTTTATGAATTCCAAAACCAGTTCAGCTGAATGGATGTTAAAACCAGTGGGATCCTTAAAGCAGATAAGACATCAGATGCTTCCATCATTTTACCATTGTGTTGGTTACACTTGATGAAAAGCCTAAAAACAGGATTAACTGACACTGTTATAAAAATGGGTCTGACACCCATGGAAACCTTGGCCACACTAGGGTTACCACTGGAACCGGTAAGTAATTTGTTCTTTTATTTTGGAAGTTCCCTTATCACATACAAAACATCAGAGGAACAGAATCCAGAAGATTTGGGAGTTAAAATACCTATTTGAACAGTTGAGTCCAATCTTGCAAACCCTTGCTACAGCACATACTTCCATTGCGTTCAGTGTGACAACGAGCACAATTAAGGGTTTGCAGTATCTTAGCATCTCATACTACTACGCAGCCTGTTAAGATCTAGAACTTCACACACATAGATGCAACGTGGCTGACTGAGGGGAACCCAACTTTTGAATTTCTTGACCTCGGTGCATTTAAATCCTCATATTTGATGTTTAGTTAACTTTTTTCCTATGGAACTTCTTAGATTTTTACCAAAAATTTTAGTAATTTGAAATAGCTGTTTGTGTGTGTGTGTGTGTGTGTGTGTGTGTATTTGAACACTGACTTAAATAGGCAGCAATGCATGTATTTGGGTGAGTAAGCCACACGTACTGGCATTTATTTGAAAATGTAATCATATTGCACAATACAATAAGGTTATTCTCCATTTACTTTTAGTCATTTGGTTATCTACATTTGTAAGGAATCCATTCCACACAAGAAGTTCAGCCATAGAATTCTAAATCCAAAGAGTACTTAGACTTAAAGAGATATAGGCCCTGATCCTGCAACATACTGTACATCAGGGATTGGCAACCTTTGGCATGCGGCCCACCAGGGTAAGCACCCTGGCGGGTCGGGCCAGTTTGTTTACCTGCCGCATTCCGCAGGTTCGGCCGATCGTGGCTCCCACTGGCCGCAGTTCGCCGTTCTAAGCCTATGGGGGCTGCGGGAAGCGGCATAGGCTGAGGGATGTGCTGGCCGCCGCTTCCCACATCCCCCATTGACCTGGAGCGGCAAACCAGGGTGCTTACCCTGGCGGGCTGTATGCCAAAGGTTGCCGATCCCTGCTATACATAGACAGACCTCTGGATCCACATGGAGCACCACGGAATTCAATAGGGTTCCACGTGAACACAAGGATCTGCCCATGTGTTATGAATTGCAGATTCAACAATGTTGTAAACTAAAGGGGGGGGGGAAATCTACTCTTCAATCAAGGTATTATTTGTGAGGCAAACTTTGGACATGTTGCAGAGTCCTTTGTAGTTCAGTTCTTCCATCAAAAAAGTAACCAGGCCAAGCATAGCTTAAATTTAAAATCATATATCAACCACATTCAAAACAGCACAGATCTGCTCTTTCAAGCATACAATTATTGTCTAATTAGTATGAAACACAGGAAGCAATCTAAACATTTATATTGTACTAAAAATCAACACAAAAGGGATAGAAGCCATTGAAGAACTGACAAGCTTTTCCTTTCAAAAGGGTCAGAACTTTAATTCAAATACTTTTTCTTTTCAAAATTTCACAAAGTAAACACTCCCAATTGAAGTTATATATACCAATTCTGAAGTTTTAAAGCAAAGCTATTTGAATGATCTGAACACAAAAAAAGTCAAAGTATTTTAAGATTAGAACAAGCAAACTTCTTTTATTGTCAGAGATCACAAACAGCCTTGGCTTCTATGTTGCATCTTGAGGGAATTCCCACTCGCACTCCTTAGATTGGAGTAGAGATTTAAACATTTGTACCTATTCACGGCCCAGACTGAGTCTCCATAACTGCACAACATCCATAGTTCAATGAACCTTTAATCCAACTGGAGTCTTTAGGTTCCAATACAAAATAATAATTTAAGTAGGAATTTTTACTTCTGAATTTATTTTTTCACTAAATCTGAGAAAGTTATACAATATACTGCTATTTTTTATTATTTTCTCTCTCTACACCTCTTTCCCAGTCACCTCCTAGAACATTTTGATCCTCACACTACCCTTGTGTGTCCCATACTCCCTTTCCCAAGAACCCCACTTTTGCTACTGCACCAGTATAATGCCACCTATGCTATTGAACCAGAATAAAAGTGACTAGCTTGCCACTGGATACTGACAATATAATTAGTTTCACTCAACTCCTTCTAGAGCAGTTCCATCTGCAAGATGAAAAGCCCTTAATTCCAAAGAAGTGTAAAGTGAAAATTAACAAGATGCAGATCAGTTTCATTCCGGTGCTGCTGCAATTCTCTCCTACAAGAAGGCAATCCCCAGGGGAATCTTTAAAACTGAGACTAAAGTTGAGGAAGAGAGGCCAGGGGGAAAAATAGAGCATACCTGCAATCCTGTATCAGTTTAAACACCTATGTTGGACAAGAAGCCATTAGGAATTACTGAATTCATTAATACAGGACAGCTTACCAAGAGATGTGGTAGAAATTACAGGTCACTAAGCTTAATGCAAGAATTACTAGGTGAAGTTCTTTGGCCTGTGTTACTGAAGAGGTCAGACAGACTAAGTGGTCATAGGGCTCCCTTTAGGCCTTAACCCCCTTGTTTTATTTCTATATATGATTCTATGACCTGCATATAGCTAGTCTATTTATCTACATGGTCCTGCCACTTTTATCCTCTTCCTCCCACCTGCAGCCTCCATTTATTTATTACATCAGTTATTGTGTTGGGGCTTATTTTAGGCTTAAAGAGAGATTCCATGCAGATACAAGGATCTTCACATATGGATTAGATTGCAGAAATAGGGCTTTAGACTGTAAAACTTTTGAGACAGGGACTATCTTATGAGTTCATACAGGTCCCAGCACTGATTTGATTGAGTCCTCTGGTGCTACTGTAATATAAACAAATCTAAATTGATTTTTTTTTCCCTCCCAAGTTTTCTACTTTTTGGCAGGGACCAGGCTTGGGGAAAAAAAAAAAAAAGCCATCCAGAAAAGATAAGCTCTTGCTTTTGAGAACAAAGAGGTGCTGTGAAGAAAATGACTGCCTAACGTGAATATGTTAGTCCAACATTATAAATAATAGGTATTTCCATTCCTTTTTTTGTTAGGCAAAACCCAGATCTACATATACAGCGCTGCAGTGGCGCAGCTGTTCTGATGCAGCTGCACCACTACAACGCATCTGGTGAAGACACTATGCCAACGGGAGACAACTCTGTCGGCAATAAAAAAAAAAAAAAACACTTCTGCAAACAGCAGAAACTATGTTGTCAGGAGAAGCAGAAGCTCTTCCACCAACATAGCACTGTGCACATGAACTTGTCAGTGTAACTCATGTCGCCCAGCAGGGTGGTTTGTTCATACCCCTGAGCAATATAAGTTATCCTGACATAGACTGTAGTATAGATATGCTCCTAGTTTTTATTTAGGCTAACAACTAGAACACTTGTGCACAGAAAATACTTATTATTCCTGCTGGTCCTTGTTTGATCTTCAGTTGAAAGCAACTAATGCTTAATTATCAGTTTGCAATCTATTTTTATTTAAAAAAAAAATACTTTTTAAAGTTGTACCTGGCATTAGGTATTTCACAGAGATAAGGATTACAAGTTAACCAATCAGATTACTGGGCTTCAGGTACCAACATTCCAACAGGTTTATATCCTATACAGAAACACAATGTACAATTTCAATGTGTAACCTACTGATTTATCAATACCACTCCTTCTCCCATTCCAGATATGAGCTGAGAAACCAAGAGCCATCATTTCTCATAAAAATAATGGAAACAAAATCATTTTGAATTAGGGAGCTGAAGGGAAATGTTTACCTGAGGCATCTCCAACCTTAAAATCACTGTCATCTGAGCTATCATAATCTAAAGCTTCCAGCAGTGAAGCTGCCAAAGGCTTCACTTGTCTCCTCTTCGAACTGCGATCCACTGTAGAAACGAAAGAATTTCATTATTAGATGATGATAATGAAAATCAACATTACATTAAGCATAAACCATTTCGATTATACAGGCGCTGGTAGCAGGAACTGCCTATGTACAGTTTAAAGCTCAGTCAGCACACAGCATGAGATACAATAGCACCCACCTCCAGCCAGGGATCTGAAATAGTCCTACAAGTGCAGTGAAGGAGGGGAAACATGGTGCATAAAGGTTTGGGGTTAATACATCTTTTGTTGGGGCATCCCCGGCCCCCAGGACCAGCGCCCCTCAGCAATGATAGCTCGTTGATACTAATAAGCACTGGATAAGGACAGCCACGGGAGGGGGGTCAGGGAGAGGCTACGGGGGGGAGGCTAATGCCTCCCCCTGGGAGGTGCGGGGGGTAGGCAAGGCCTCGCACTGTGGGGAGGGAAGGTGCGAGAGGCTAACGCCTCTTCGCCCAGGGGATGCCCAACGCTAGCCCGGGGCGGCCGGGCAGGCGGGGCGGGGGAGGCGGCGGGGACAGTCACTTACTAAAGCCGGCGGCGGGACAAGGAGGCGAAGGGCGGGCTCGGGCGGCGGCAGCAGACGCGCCGGTCCCCTTCCCACCCCTCAGGCTCCTCAGCGCAGAGCCCCGCGCTGGCGGAGTCCGGGCCGGTAACCCAGACAATGGGCACAGCCGCAAGCCGCCACCCGGATGCAGATCCCAGCCAGCGAGCAGGGCAGGCTTTGCTACTACGGCTCGCTCCCCTGAGCATGCGCAGAACGCCCGCACAGGCGCATTAGCGGAAAGTGAAGCTGTTCACGCTTCCATGAGGCCCCTACCCTTCCGCAGCCCGGTATCTGAGCTGGGCAGTGCTGTGCCTGCCGCTAATCCCACAAGGGAGCAGGAGCGGGGTGAGGAGTGAGGGGAATTTAGGCCTGTGGGTGCGTGTGCAGGATTTAAGGGGGGAATTGGGACTAACTATGCCCAAGCTTTCATCCTGATTTGGGTTTTCAGTGCAGGGACAGAAGGGCTGCAGAGGGACTAAGGTGCTGTCCGTTCATTCATTCACTCAATAATACGGGCATTTTGGGCTCTTTTTTGTTTTCCTTTTGGCGGCTGAGCCCTCAAGGTGCACGCAGGTCACGTTTTCAGGCTTATCTGAGCAACCACGAGGGCTAGAAACTTACTTGTTTTAAAAGTAAGTGATTGACCCCCGCCCCCGCACTGTTTAAAACTTTGTTTTAAAGGGAAGCTGAGAATCTCACCTAATCAGAATCCAGGAGCTGGGGATTTAAAGAAAACAAATATTGTGAGACTCATGGTGAAATCCCAAGGGCTGGTAATGCTGCTGTTGCCTGATCCTGGGTTGGGGAAAGGGGTGCCTCCTCATGAGCTGATCACCCATCCACATCCTTGCTTAATGCAAAGTGTTGCCAACCCCATCTTTCAGACATCATATATCTCCAAAACCATGAGATTGGTTTAAAAACCATGAGATTTTTAAAAAAGGCATTTTGGGATATATTTTTTTCCTTAAGGATTTTCAAGTCTTTAAGTATTATGTCTTCAAGTGTTTCTTCATAACTATTAGGACTAGAAAGCTTGGGGTGGCGGGAGTGTTTGTTTTTCAATAAAATCTGAGAATCTCATGACTCCAGGATCTGGGACTTTAGGAAAAACCACCACATATTGTGAGACTTGTAATTAAAATAGCGAAGTTGACAACACTGCTAACAGAACTGTGAGTGTTCTCAATTTTGAATTCAGTTTTGAATCCTACTAAGCTTTTAACCTCAATACCAGATTTCACTGAGTTCCACTGACTAGTTGTGCTTTGGGTAAATCAGGGGTTCCCAAACTTGGTTCGCGGCTTGTTCATGGTAAATCCCTGGCGGGCCACGAGATGCTTTGTTTACCTGAGCGTCTGCAGGTGTGGCCACTCACAGCTCCCAGTGGCCGCGGTTCGCCGTTCTCAGCCAATGGGAGCTGCGGGAAGCGTCTCAAAGCCTCTCACGGCCTGCCAGGGGCTTACCCTGAACATGCCGCAAATCAGGTTTGGGAATGCCTAGTGTAAATATATATTCTAAATTTTTTCCCTTATGCTTGTCTTACAAGCGTGATTGGATAAAAATGCCCAATTTAACTTCTCTACCATTTATTATTTTGTATCTCTTAATCATATTTCTTCTTACTAAGAGTTTAGTAAATACATAAAGACCATTTTCTACTCTTACTCCTTGTGTAAGCCTCACACTGATAACATTAGTGGGAGTTCACTGTGAACTGAAGCAGTATATAGACTCAAGTTTATATCTCAGCCCACTAACCATAACTAAAAATTGAATTTGGTCCCCCATCAACTGAGTTTGACACTGCAACATTAAAAGATCTTTGTTCAGTGACATATGTAAATTTTGGCAGTGTCACTATAGTACTCAGTGAACCCGTTTTAAATCACAAAAGTCACTAATTGATATATTTATTTTATTTCTTTAGAGCCTTATAAGAACCAGAAAGGGCACCTATAATCTCATACTCTAGAAATCGCTAACACTACTAAAAATATAAAGATAGTGTGACAGATTTATGTTACCAATCTGCCCGGGGCGTCAGGTGATCAAGCTGAGGCCGCAGGATCTTTAGGGGAGGAGATGGAGGAGCACACCAAGTGACTAAATTTTAAAGTTTTATTAATAAAATAATAAAACAGTGGCGAGTGCTGGGAATGCTCCAGCGTCACTCAGAGGAAGAAAGAAAGCGTTAGTGCCCCAGCCCTAACTCACTTTCATACTCACCCACGCATGACCCAAGGCTGGCCAAGCCTGGGTGTAACGTAAGAAGAGGGGGAAGGGTGGATGGGAGTTCTTGTCCCGTGAACAGGTCGTCCAGGTCCGCTGTGATCTCCGACTTGCTTTGGCTCTCGGGAAGGTTTAAGTCCTGGATTCTTTTGGGGGTGTTTTCGTTCAGGGCCCTCTGTTCCTGGTATTCTTTGTACCAGTCCAAACCAGCTCGCTGTGGCTTCCTCGACTTTCCCAAAACATACCGGCTTCAGATACTTTGTTTTCCCCCCCATTGGCCTTCGCCGTCTCATTCACGCTCACTGTTCTCACTACAATCTCTGCAGCCCTGCTCAACTTAGTTCTCCTCTTCTCATGGCTGGGCAGCTGCAGATTTCTCATCAAGCCCATGACCTTGGACCAGGGCCAGCGTCTTATCTTCGGATGGAGCTAGCTGAAGTGTCGAGTTAACCCGTTCTCTGCTCTCTTCCTCCCTCCCCCTTTTGGCCACTCGCAATCTTTCACTCCACACTCACACCTTTGAGCCTTCCCAAAATGCCTTGCGATGCTTGCAGCAGCGTTAGCAACATACAATGCTGATCTGCCTCCCCAGGGGACCCCATGAGGGAGGGGGTCATTGGGTTTTGACAATAGGAACAAGCAGCAGTCCGAATAAAATATAGCAATAATTAAACCATGCAGCTCAGAAAAGCAGAAGAAATTTCTATATCTCCTTAATCACCACCCTTCACCAGCATCTCCCTTTCTAAAAGCCCTGCACACCAATAGATTTCAGCTATTTCAGGTAAAGGGAACTGGAGGGGAAGAGTATTTCCAAATGAAAGGGGCTTTCACAGAGAACAGAACAGGCTCTCTCTTTTATTACTAAGGGGGCTCCATCTTGAGTACCACCACAGATCTCAGCAGAGAGGTCAAGAATACTTGAATGCTAAACTACCCTCTTGTTCCAAGAAGCATTCAGACATTGCTGGGGTATTTGGTAATCCATGCACTTTTACTGCCAATGCTGTGTCTATTCCATGGCTAAACACGTCTAAGCATTGTTAGTTTAGCATTTTTAACATGTTCTAAATTCATTCACAAAAGAAAGAAATTTAATCTCAAAAGGTCATTGTAACAGGGCTGGCTCCTCTCCTGTCCTGCAGTTCCTCACAAATGGTCTTGGATGCTTCTTGACTGTCAACACCTCTGAGTTTTTATTCAGGGCTTTGGAGTGGAGCCCAGAACTAGAGCGCAGAGCAGTGGAGCTGCAGGTTTTTGCCTGGAGCTGGAGCAGAGCCAGAGCACAACTCCAAAGCCCTGGTTTTTATTTAAGTTCACATCACCAAGCCACCATCACAATCCTCTTGCAGCACTTCTACCTTCAGTCCTCAGCCCTTTCTCCAGGAAGAGGGCATGTTCTCACCAACCAGAGACTTACCTTACTCTGAGCTCTGTTAGCCCTTCTTTCTTCCCATTGCATATCCTTTCTGGGCTCTTTAACTACCTTCTCTGTTGATGGGATAATTAGCTCTTTAGCTCATCAGTTCACAGTCTGATTGGGTAATTAAGTATTCTGCCCCTCAATCAGGGCTTCTCTGGCGATCTAGTTAGTGCCTAAGTTACCAGAGTGCTGGGGCATTTTTAGGAGTAAAGTTTACTCCTGGGGGAATTCTGCATCAAAAAAATAAAAATTCTGTGTACAATAGTTTAAAATTCTGCAAAATTCTGCATATTTTATTTGTCAAAATAACACAATATAATCATTCCAGTTTGAATTATTTTGGTGGTTTATTTCAAAATACCTGTCAACAAGTATGTCAACAATGCATACAACAACAACAAAAAGATTCTCCCAGGAGTAGAGTTAAAGAAACCCCTATGACAACCCAGTTCCAGTTGGGGGATGCTGGAGGGGGCTGTGTGGGGCCCCCAGAGCCCAGACAACTGCACTCCCCTCCCTCCAGAGCCCAGTCACCAGGCACCCCCACATCCCAGATACCCACACACTCCTTCCCCAGAGCCCAGCTATGGGGCATCCCCCCCCAGCCCAGACACCCCCACCTTCTCCCTTTAGAGCTCAGACATTCACACATCCCTCCCCCCAGAACCCATCCACGGGGCACCTCCCAGCCCAGACACTTGCACCCCTCTCTCCCCAGAGCCCAGCCATGGGGCACCCCTGGCCCAGACACCTGCACCCCCAGAGCCTTTATTCCCCCTAGCTTCTTTCCCTTCCTCACCCTCTGGCAGAGCTGGGTCTCCCGGGATCTCTCACGTCCCAAGGAGAATGAGGATCAAGCCAGATGGCCAGAGCGTGCAGAGCCTCCATCCCTGCTGGGCTGGGCGCTCCGCTCACTGAGCTGGGCTCTGCAGAGTCCAATGGCCCCTAGTGGCAACCAGCAGTTTTGCAGCCCCAATTCTGTGGGGGAAACATGAAATTCTGCACAAATTCTGCATTGTGCAGTGGTGCAGAATTCCCCCAGGAGTAAAAGTTATAAACAGCTAAAAATAATAGTTTAGAATGAAAATGTTATTGTAGGCACCACTAGCACAACTACTAAAAATACCTAGGGTTATTCAACATATCAGGTCATTCAATTACCTGAGCATTCCAATTACTCTTTTTAGGTCTGTACTTTAAGTGCACAGTCTGTTGAAAGAGCAAGTAGATTGATCTTCATATAACTAGTGTTCTTCTACTGCTAAACAAAGAGGGAAATAATGTTTCTGTGAGTGCACTATTTCTCTAAGAAACATTAGTATCTTTGTTGTGGTTCAGTAAAGCCCATTAGTAAAGGGAGTTACACAATAGCAATTCAGCAGAGCATATAGTGGTACTTATATAAGTTATCTTCAAACAAAATATTATTTTTAGTTTAATGAGAGCATTAAATGTGGCTTCAGTTTAGAAAGGTCAAAACAAAGAAAAACACTAAAATTGTATTTCCATTCACCTAATAAAACGAAGTCAAGAATAGAAAATAAATAGGTTTTAACCTTCTATCATTTCTGAATAGA